CCCAGATGCCTTAAACTAAAGCTCTAATACCAACTGTAACAACCCTCAATTTCCACTAGACAGATAATCCACATCATCATACTCATAACAAAGAATGTAATAATGTTTACAAAATATGGACTAACAAAAACTTTCTTTAATACATTTATGAGTAACAAAAAGTCATCAATTCTAAACTTTTCCCTTGCCTCTATCTTGCGAAGAATGATGACCTGCAAAACAGATTAGTCCAAACAACTGAGTGTTAGACCCAAAAGGTCTAGTGAGTGTATATAACTCATATCAACAACATACTTTCTAAACTAGCAGTTTAGAATCAAACTTGTATATCACAAACATTTTATCCTTATCTATCACATATCTTTTCATCTCTCTCGCGGTTACAAAGCCATTTCATCTCTCTCTCGCGGTTACACCGCCATTTCATCTCTCTCTCGCGGTTACACCACCATTACATCTCTCTCTGGCGGTTACACCGCCATTTCATCTCTCTCTCGCGGTTACACCGCCATTTCATCTCTCTCTCGCGGTTACACCGTCATTTCATCTCTCTCTCGCTGTTACACCGCCATTTCATCTCAAAAGTTTCAACACATTAGCCGGATTTGAAGTCCGGTCAACCTTGTCCGGATATGTAATCCGGTCAATGCCTTAGAAATTTTAAAAGAAGGAAATCCTGACATAGCTTGAACGATTTAGCTCTAAACCGATTAACACTGGAGCGGTTTAAGAAAATATCCGGTCAACACTTGGGCGGTTTAGGCTTTCATCGAATGACACATAAGCGATTTAAGGGAAATTCGGTCACATCTTGACCGGTTTAGATGAAATTTGTTCACCTCTTGACCGGTTTAAGGAGAACTCCAGACACTCTTTGTCCGGTTTAAGGACTTAACCAAATATTTATGAAATGCAGTTCATAAATAGCAGATTCTAGCAGTAAAAGAAGTAATAACCAATACTTTAAAGCAATATACACTCACCTTAAAATTGATGAACGGATTTGAGCCTATGATTTACTCTCTCAAAATTTACAGAAAATCTTCTAAAAACCAACCTCTTCCCTTTTTATATACACTTGCTATTAGCAAGTGTATGGCCACTTTTTAACAAAAGTCGACTAACACCTCTCACTCACACAATCCTATATATATATATATATATATATTTATTTATAAATTCCAAAATCTTAATTCGAAACTTATAACTCGAATATTACATGTTTAACCAATGGTTATGTGAACACATGCTCCAAAAGTATGATTAACTCAAAAAATTCATTATTTCATCTTTTTAGTGAAATCTTACCATTTTTCTCTAAAATAGTTTATAAGACAATAAAATGTATTTTTCAAAAGGTTTATAAAGTCAAAGACACTAAGAGTGCATTAACATCTAAAATCTTTATTTAAGGAAATAAGACATCAAAATAAGATATTATCAAGATTTATTTACCAAAGAGTTCATAAACTCCAAATATAAGCATTTCACAAGATTTATAAATTCAAATTTACAGAATATGCAAAACTCCGTCAACTAACAACACATTTGATAAATATCAAATAAAAAGCTTTAAGACTTCAATATACATATTTTTGGCATGAATAAAATTTTTACAAAGCAACTTGAACTCACCTTGCTAGGTTAAGTTACACATAGGTTCCAAACGCATGTTTAGTTTCCAAAGTGGTGAAAACCTTGGATCCACAAGCAAAACTTCTACATATATGATGCCAAGCTCTCAAGAACACCTCATTTACTCTCAAAACATACACAACAAACCCAAGAGAAGAAATGAGGGTTGGGGTAGAAAGGATTAAACCCTAAGCCAAAAATGATAACTTAGATCTTACATTTGAGCTTCTTAGTTCTTTGAATCATCAAAGAAGTGACTTCAATAGCCCTAAAATCTTACTTCAATCTCCAAAATATTCTTGATAGAGAGGAAATGATGTAGGAGAAAACTCGGAGAAGAGAGAATGAGAGAAAACTCCAAAAAATCACCCCTTTTAGAGCTTCCAGGTCATTGTCGTGACTTTCTCCACGACCCAAGTCGCACAGGAAGTCGCGCGTGCTACTCATCTATAGTCATACAGTGAGCCCTGATATCTATGTCGCGACCCAAGTCGTGTGCCAAGTCGCGAGTCACTGTTTTCATCCGTTTACTCGTTTTTTCTTGCCGATTCAATCCCCAATCATTCTAACATAAATGCCATATAAAATCCTCATAGTTTATCCTTTTAAATGTCTTTCCACGAGGTGATTAATCATAAATAGAGGTCCGAAATTTACGGGTGTTACAAATTAAAACAAAAATCTAACATATATTTTATAAAAGGAATAATAATAATAAGTTTATATTACTTAAGTGTGCCATTAAAATTAAAGCAATCTAGTCAAAATTTAAAAAGAAAAATTACCTATAAAATAAGTAAGATTGTTTAATGGTGCACTAGGGTTATGATGGATGCATTATGTACCGTATTTTTTTTAATTTGAAACATGAATTACAAGACATTTTAACTATAATAATTTGATTATTTGTCTATTAGGAAAACTTTTTAATTTACAACTTTTTTTATAAAATTATTTTATACTTTGCTTCAAAAATATAATATGTTTAATTGATTGTACCAAAAACATAAAGTACATTTCTGAAACAAAGTTTCTAAAAATAGATTTTTAAAATAAGAATCCAAACAAAAACCATTTATTTTGATTCAAATTTCCCTTTATTTTAATATCTGAAGATCTAAACGAACAACAATTTAAAAGGAATTAAGATAATAAGTAGCACATAATCGGCCAAACCATGTGCACTAATTATTGTCCTTTTTATATTAAATCATAAGAAAATATCATATTTTAGTTCTGGATACTATGAGGTGGATTAAAAACTACTGTACATATGATTAAGCTATAATATATAGATACATGTATAACATGATATGATGTTTTATATAATTTAAAGTGTTAACAATATAAAAGTAATATTAACATATCTTTATGATAGTTAGTTAATTTAACAATTTGTGTATGTTAAAATTATTGACTAAAAGATATCATATATATATATATATATATACATGTATATATATATATATATGTATATATATATATATGTTTAATCATTTAAAATAATTAATGTTATTTATTAATTAAATACTATATATATATATATATAGGCAAAGAATCGTATAAGAAGTAGAGTGAAGGTAAAGAACTTAAGAAAGGATCAGGATTCTTGATCAAATTTAATCTCAAAACCACCTATGCACCGTGCTTGATATGTGGATTGATCAACTGCATCTCAGTACGTCTCATCCTAATTGGGCATCCAACGGTAGAAATATTTTCTTACACTTCTCAACGTAACCCTATATATATATATATATATATATATGTGTGTGTGTGTGTGTGTAGATTCAAACGAAAATACTAACTATTTAAAAAACAAGAAAATGTTGTTAATTTACAAAATCATATACGATTTACGTACAAAATCATACATGAGCTGGCGCGACTTTGCCAACGACTTAAGTTGTGGCAAAAGTCGTCCGCTTCCATTTTTTTGATGTTAATGTAAAATCATGTATGATTTTGTACATTAACGATTTTTTTGTTTTTTTAAATAGTTAACGTTCTCACTTAAAGAGTACAAACTTTATAAAATATGTGAGATTCATCATAAATCACTAATTTAAAATAATTAATATTATTTATCAGTTAAATATTAAAGCTTTTTTTAGAAAAATCAAATTCCAAAAATATCTCCCTCAACCTCTCATCTCCCGGTCTCTCCCCTTTCTCTTCTCTTTGTTACATACACGCATGCAAACACACCTAATTGAATATGCATACAAGACGAACACAATATAAATAACCTTAAAAAAATCCTTATTGGGGTATTCACATAGTGTGCACAAGTGGTAGGTTTAGGTTTAGTTTTGTTGGTGTTCTCAATATGTTCACAAGCTATACTAAATCTCGTAGATTCAGAGTATGTTCACAAACTATATTATATTTCGAATAAAAATGTTCACAATATGTTCATCTTATGTACATATTCAGTTGTGTGTGTGTGTATGTGTATGTGTATGTTAGGAGAGAAGGGGAGAACAAAGAAGAGGGGAGAGAGAAAGAGGAAAGTAAGAGATATGAAAAAGAGTTTTTTCAAATATATTAGATTTTATTTTTTAATAATATTTTATGGTTTAAATTGAATAACAATTACTTCTTAAAAAAGCCTTTGTTCAGTGAAATTGACCAAAAACAGTAATCTCTCCAATCAAATCCACTTTTTAACTATTTTTCAACTAAATTTCATTTTATCCCAAGTTCATACAAATATTTTACGCATTTGCATAAACCCATTTTTAGATTAAAAAAAATATTTACACAAATTTGCATAAAGAATTCGTATAAGGATCTTTATTGTATAAAGATCCTCATTTACATGAATCATTTTTTTAAATTTAAAAATAAGCTTTAAACAAATACATAAACTTTTGTTAACACGGGAATTCTATACTAAAAATGGTTAAAAAATGAATTTGACAAAGAAAAATTACTATTTTGATGGATTTTTCTTTTACTTATTCCATAAGGGTGGTGCCTTATTGGTTTGAGATTAGCTTCAAAAGTCAAAAGTATCAAGAGGTCTCGGATTCAAATTTAAGAATGAATAAAAATTCTCTTGTGGCCACGGAGGTTCAAATGCAGTAACTCCGTGCTATCTGCAAAGCAGATGGTCGTCCTGGAATTAGTCGGCTCATATAACGGGTTGGATATCCAGTTTAATAAAAAAAATTAGTATACATATACGAGATAGTAAACCATGCATATTGGATTAGGTCAACATCCATTTATTTAACTTTTGTTTTTATTTATCTAAAAAATGTAATTTTAGCAAAAATATTTAATCGAAATACCGTCCTCTTAGTTTCCCATCACAAGTATTATAATAATAACAGAAGTATTGGAACTGAAGAGACAGATTGTGAAAAGCACAGTAATTTTTCTTCAATAATTGGAACCTGATAACAGCAGAAACCAGCTGAGCTTCAGTCCAAAAGCTACATGCTTGGTTCCTCCACAAACCATACCAAATATATGAAAACAAGATCAAAAATCTAAGAATGATCGATTCATTCTTCAAGGTTGAGGAGATTCCGGGGATGTGTCTTTCTATACCCACCATCCCTCTGGCATATCTCTCTGTATCTAACCTTTTTAACTACTTCACACACACCTATACACATCGAGTATGTGTATTTGTGTTCTTGTGTGTATATATATATGTATATGTATGTGTATATATCGATCTTTACTGTGCTTGTTCTGCCAAATCCTTTGAGCTTATGAAAGTGCCATGGAATCCATATGGTACTCTTGAAGGGAGTTTAACTGAAGCTTCCATCTCCATGGTCATGGCGTTTATGATTTGCAGCTCTGATTTCCATGTCTTCTCGTCATGAACGAATGCCAAAACATACCCATCATCCTCTCTCTCTGAGTTTAGACCACTCGGGAGGAAAAAAGGTTCACCGCCGAACCTCTCGTCGCCGTAAAAGAATTTCTTGACTTCTCCGGTCACCAAGTCAACTTTCGCAAAGCCTGAAACTTTAGGCCATGGTTCGGCAATGGCAAGATATGCAAACTGGGTTTTTCGGCCAAGCTTGTCACGGTTCACCATGCCTGCCTCCAGGTTGACATGTTCGGATCCTTTGAGGATCGGACGTTTGGTTGACTTCCGAGTCTTCAAGTTGATCCTGATTTCAGACAAGACGCTGTTTAGATTCTCGTCACATTCGTTGAAAATGGAGTCGGGTGGAGTCATGCATGACCCGATCACGACAACCTCGTTCGATTCGGGTTCTTCCCATGCGTTCCATAAGTGAAAGCAAAAAGTTTCCGGCGAGTCGACCCATATCATGTCGTCGGATGTTTCTGCGTTTTTGGATAAAATCCCAAAACGAGACATTTTGTTTTTGTCGTAAATCACTGGTGATCCGCCTTTTATCATTTCTTCAAGTTTGAACACGACTTGTTGGTCAGGAACCACCACAAAGTTCTCGGTGATTGCGAAATCATGCATCATGGTCGGAACCTCCAATGGTATTTCGACGTCCGGCGACTTCTCTCCATCTTTCGAAAACTTAAAGTACTTGAGATACGGCTTCTGGACAACGTCGTAGCTAAGAGCAAACATCTCGCCGGTAACAGGGTCTAGCTTCGGGTGTGCTATCATGGTGGACATAAGTTGCTCCGAGAAATCATACCGTCCGACCGTCTCAATATCCGATGACGGCGTGATCTTTATCTGATAAGGCATATCATCTTCCGACATGGCAAGAAGCCGGTGGTTGAAGTAAATCAATCCGGCGTTTGCAACCCCCATGCCTTTGCTTTGATCTACCAAACCCAACAAAGATCGGGTATAAAATAGAGCAAGCCGAGCAACACCCGAATGTCCATGGAGTTCACCTATTGCTTTCGGAAAAACAGGTCGACCCAACTCCCTCTCCTGAACAAGCCGGTGTGTCTCCGTTAACTTACACGAATAACTCACCGACTTCCCATCGATGCTAACGGCATGAACCATCCCGTCACCGTCAAAAAGATGATGCCCGGCGACCGGCTCAAAAAGCGGGTTAGCCCCATTGCGAACATACACACCGTTAATACAATCCGGTATGGATCCACTTACAGGTAAATTATGCTTCACCCCTTGTTCCGGCACCGGAGCGAAGTTCCCGGCGATTTGCACACGTGGGTCGGAAGTTTTCGGAAGAGGACTTTGGGTTTCGCGTGAAACCAACGCGTTTTCAAACATGTCCAATGCGGTAGCAGCAAGTCGCTGTAAAAAGTTCCATTGATGCGGCTGGTGTAAAGCTGATTGCTCCGTGTTAATGGAGTTTGGGAAATGAAGCAAAGGTGAAGACTGTAGAGCTGCGCAACTGATAGTAGCTTTTCTTGAAGGTTTGGTGGCTTTAATGGCGAGTAACCGAGGAGTATGAGTATGGGGTTTGGATGAAAAAGAAGATGGGAGTAAGGTGGATGCATAAGGATTTACAGCCATTGAAAAAGTTGGGAAGGGGGAAGGGAGGAGGGAGTGTGGGGAGGGAGGAGGG